TCTATCCTTGTCACGGAGCTTCCTACTTTTTCCGCAACTGTCGCCGAAGTCGCAGTTCTGTTATGATTCCTGCGTACCTAGGGTTTTTTGTTATAGGAATTCTGTCCTTGTCTCTCCTCCGATTGTTGTATCTCCTTCTCTATCACGGCATCATCAGAATCTATCTATCCTAGTCACGGAGCTTCCTACTTTTTTCGCAACTGTCGCCGAAGTCGCAGTTCTGCTATGATTCCTGCGCACCTAGGGTTTTTTGTTATAGGAAGTTACGCGGTGTGTTTGTCTCGTTCTTTTCTTTGGAAAATGTTGCAAAGAGGAAACGAAACGAACATGTCGGCAAACTTCAGATTTATTCGAAGCCTAGGGTTTTAAAAATTAGTTCGGTCTAATCACCACTGGATGACTCGATAGTATAACTCTGTTGCAAATGCATTCAAGGTGTCTTGTTATAAAGTTGACTCTAGCGAGCAGAATTTCAGAGAATTATCAACACCTTACACATTTCATACCTATTACATTACAAGGACAACGAAATTTACTATAATAAATGTCCGGTCTCGAGGATAAAGCTCTTTGGGGAGAGGTACAAACTTTCGCATTAATTTTTTGCATGGTTAGGGTTAGGGTAGAATGACAAGCATATATAAATGAACACACGATTAAATAATTCTACTTATTTTACATTATAATTTGCCTTTTCTAACGTTTAATTAAAAATTTTAAATATTCGATTTCAAATGGTTTTCATTCATCTCCTTTTAATATTTTCAAAATAAGTATTGCTTGTAAACATTGTAAACATTACTCGCAAGTATTACGAATGTTTTGTAACGACTACTTCGAAGGAATGAAATTATGTGAAAATGAAATCATCGTTTAAGGGACCATGAGAGAAATTGTTTGTTATTTAGAATTAAGAAAATATATCTTCCAAGTAGACAGTACAGATTATAATGTTTGTATATAATTGGTAGTCTACTTACAAGCTAATAATTTTAATTGTATTTATCCATAGGAGATTTTGGGTGAGGATGTTTCGAAAATGTCATACGACGAAATTCTGTTGCGTACACGCGTGTTAGATAACGAAATTACAATTATGAAAACCCAATTAATACGCATCGAGCAAGATCTTCGGGTAGAAAATAATAAAATTAAAGAAAATACAGAGAAGATTAAAGTAAACAAAACTCTACCTTATCTGGTGTCCAATGTCATAGAGCTGTTAGATGTTGATCCTCAAGATATGGGTAAAGAGGATGGGGCAGTTGTAGATTTGGATGCTCAAAGGAAGGGCAAATGCGCGGTTATTAAAACTTCCACGCGTCAAACATATTTTCTACCTGTGATTGGTTTGGTTGATGCGGAAGCGCTGAAACCTGGAGACTTGGTAGGTGTCAACAAAGACAGCTACCTTGTTCTCGAAACGCTGCCTGCCGAATACGATGCGAGAGTCAAAGCTATGGAGGTGGACGAAAGACCTACGGAGCAATATTCGGACATCGGTGGCTTGGACAAACAAATTCAGGAATTGATAGAAGCCGTTGTCTTACCTATGACGCACAAACAGAAATTCGTAAACCTTGGTATTCAACCTCCAAAAGGTGTACTTTTGTACGGACCACCGGGAACTGGAAAAACTTTGCTAGCCAGAGCTTGCGCCGCGCAGACAAAGTCTACCTTTCTCAAACTAGCTGGTCCGCAACTTGTTCAAATGTTTATCGGAGATGGTGCGAAACTGGTAAGAGATGCGTTTTCGCTTGCCAAGGAGAAGGCACCAGCAATTATTTTTATCGACGAGTTGGATGCAATCGGTACGAAAAGATTTGACTCTGAAAAAGCTGGTGATAGAGAGGTACAACGTACCATGTTGGAACTATTGAATCAATTGGATGGATTCAGTTCAACTGCCGATATCAAAGTAATAGCAGCCACGAATCGTGTTGATATATTAGACCCGGCATTGTTAAGATCTGGTCGTCTCGATAGAAAAATCGAATTTCCGCATCCCAACGAAGAAGCCAGGGCGCGTATAATGCAAATTCATTCGAGGAAAATGAACATGTCTCCTGACGTTAATTTTGATGAACTCTCCAGATCTACCGACGATTTTAATGGCGCGCAATGTAAAGCTGTATGCGTAGAAGCTGTACGTAAATTAAATTTACGAATCACCCTTTTATTTTAGTATTATAATACAAATTTATTTTTATAGGGGATGATAGCGTTGAGGCGTAATGCGACTGCGGTTACACACGAAGATTTAATGGAAGCTATCAACGAGGTTCAAGCAAAGAAGAAAGCGAATCTTAGCTATTATGCTTAATATGCATTATCTGAAAATTTATTTGATGAGATATTTTCTTCTTTAATTACTAAGAACAAAGATCGTTTAATTATACAAAAAAAATTTCAATAAGAAATAAGTGTACGATGTTTATAAAATACTTGGAAAATTATAAAATAATTTTTCTTATCCCAATACCTAATCTAAATTGATTTAATCCATTTATTTCAAACAATTGAATTAAAGGTAAAGATATGACGTTCCCGCATGGACATGTATAACTATTTTTTATTGTAAATTGTATTATTTTCGATATTTAATTTCATTTAATGTCTCTGAAATACAAAACTTGTTCTGATCCTAAATAATCGTACATAATGGAAATAAATGTTTCGTTTAATAATGTTTATTTTTTTCTCATCGTCTCCTGTGGCTTCTCTTCTTTATTCTAAAAAACAAATCGATAATTTATAGGCATATCTATTTCATCTAAATTAACACTTGGCGGGCGGGCACAAAACATATACTCTATGATTATTTCGAAAAAAAAAAAAAGAATGACATGTTTACAAAATCACGAAAATAGAAGATTTTTAGTATTTTATGTATATCGTATTTATATGGTACCTGCTCTCTAGTAAAAATCTACTAAATACGTTGCCCGCACGCCAAGTTTTAATAGATAGAATATATATCTTACTTCTTTGGTCCTTTTACGAAACACCAGTCAACAGAAATAGCTTGTCCCAATACATCTTTTCCGTTTAATGCTTCCTTTGCCGCTTGAGCTTCTTTAAATGTTTCATATTCTACCAAAGCGTATCCTTTTAGAAATCCCGTCCTTCTGTCCAAATTTAAATGTAAATTTTTTATTTGTCCAAATTCTGAAAATTTGTCCTGAATGTCGTCTTCCTGTGCCTCTTCGTGAATGGAATTTATAAACAAGATCCAGCCTTCTACAGCTACGAATGCAATTGTCGATATAAAAGTTATATTCTTCGAGCAAACTTTCAGGCAAAAAGAAAAAGTAATAATTAAAAAACTTTGTTACATCTTTGTGGACCCGGTTCGTCGTCGTCCTCCTCCACTATGTTCATCGACTCATAATGACGAACGTCGTCACGGGTAGAAACTAATTCAGCGCCGTGTCCTCTACCTTTTCTTCTTTTCGCTTTTTCCTTCAAACGAGCGATACCCTCTGATAGCGATAGATGATACAATATTATCCGTGTACATAGTTATTTCAATAAAATTCTACTAGATTTTCGTAATTTTTGTACGTAATGATTTATGAAGAATGAAAACAAAAGAGGTTATACGAAACTAAAATACGATAGAAACTTACGATCGCCTTCGTCGTCTACTTCAAATTCTTCGGCATTGTCAATGTCTAAAACGTCCGCCATAATTCTTTAGATGTTTTTTTTCTAACAGTAATCAATGAAAACGATTGACAAAACGCCGTGTTTACGGCACGGACACCTTCAAACACTATTTATTAAGAAAGTCATAAACCACATAGAGAGAGAAAGAGAGAGAGAGAGAGGGGCATGGGCAAAACTTGTTACGGCTTCACCATAGACTAGTTTTACAATAGTTGCATTGATTGGTGTTGATTTATGGACCTAGAAACATAAAGGTTGGTCTCTATTAAGCACATTAGGGCGGGTTTCTCAATAATCTTACAGTTAGCCAATGGCTAATAGCCATGTACCGCGTATCCGAGCAGTGCCGTAACAAGGGCGTGGCGAAGAAGGCGCCTGCCACGGGCGCAAAAGAAAAAATACCGACTCGGTTGAAAGTTGCACGTGGCTTTTATTTATACTTCATAATTCTGCTCTACACGAATCAGCACCGACTGGGACTTGCCGTTTTTCGTCTCCTGACCAATTAGACACAAACACATACATATTATCGATACGGCTACGAGTAATACGCTCCTGAGCAACGAGCGGTTGCGAATGCATGATGACCGAGGTGTTTTGAAAATTTTTCCCATATTACTCAAAGTGTACGATACTTCTTGTCACTCTTGGTCAGTAATGCCAAATATGTTGAACTGTTTTATGCTTTAATTATATTATTTTAACGTATACCTATGTTTTATATTTCTTTTATTTTGTCGTTACTGAATACGAAACGAAATTTGTTCTTCTTTAGAATATAGATTATTTATTCATACAAATATTTTGGCAGTATACATTATTGTATGTAACAGCAAGTAATTTTTATGAGATCAGTAGTATTAACTTAGTAGTAGTAACTTAAACAAATAAAGATAAACAATTACACTATTAAACAAACATATTTACAACAAAGCAATCACAACTAAAACATCGAGCGTGCAACCTTAAGCTTCCACCCATGTAAGCCCCAGAGCGGTCTCGAAACTCTCGTGTACACACCATTCTTGGAGTTATCGTCCTTCTCCTCGAACAATATGGCCTCAAATAGTCCCTGCAACGCCGTCATATGCGCGTTTAGCGTCGTTAGGACTGTTTAGCGCGCCGTTGTCAACCTTCTGTTGACTGTATTTAAACAGACGATCTGGCAGATCGCTCGCAGCCAACAGTTGGTTCAGTCACACTATTATGTTCATATGGTCGACGTGAACCCATATTTCATCGTCAGAGAAACGACGAGTCTTTGAATAAGGGGCTCTAGTGATTATAGAGTTTAACCCTGTAGCATCTATGTCTACAGGGTGTCCCAAAAATGTTGTAACACGTTGAAAGTGCTTGAAGGTGGTTCGGGAGGTGATTTGAAACAACTTTTTCCTTAGCGAAAATGTTGTCCGAGGCTTCGTTGCGGAGATATTAACGGACAAACTCCGACCAATCAGCGGGCGCTTCATTGACATCCTCGCGCTCTGATTGGTCAGTGTTTGTCCGTTAATATCTCCTCAACGAAGCCTCGGACAACATTTTCGCTAAGAAAAAAGTTGTTTCAAATCACCTCCCGAACCACTCCTTCCAAGGACCTCCGACATTTTCGGCACACCCTGTATATATATATTTTGTGTTAGTTAATGAGGTGTAAAATAAACGTGTTTGTCCGAGAAAAAGCTTCGGGAGCGCTACGGCAGCTCTACTTCTCTTTTTTTGATACAACCTCTACCCAATAAGGGCGAGTTTGCTCAAACAATGTTAAAATTTTATTTGTCATTATTGGGTGACGAGGAGGCGCAAGTTAGATGCTTGCCACGGGCGCTCCGTATCCTCGTTACGGCACTGTATCCGAGGATACACAATGACGATTCTTACATTGCACTCTACGCGAATAAATGTATGGCTATTACAATTTGCTAGACTTCGTTAAAATAAGCCACGAAACAAGGGAGTGTAACGAAATTTGTCAAAAAGTGACGCGTATCTGTAAGATTATTATTTTCGTAAAATATGGCTACGTAGAAGCGATCCAATATGGATATCCGATAGAGGGCACCCGATATACACGCAGCACAGGGCACACACGCGATCGTACAGCGTGTACGTGTACCACTCGTGTATCGCGTATCCGAGACGTGGGGCAACTGGCAAACATAAAATTTCCGTTGGTGCTCCGAAAAGCGGCGACGACGACAACGGTTTCAACCGTAACGTTCGGTTTTCGTGGTGCTTTAATCGCGGCCACCGTTCCTTCCTGTCATGAAGGCCTAAATGGCGTTGGCGTCAAGAGCCATCCACCGTTTCGCTCGCTGCCAATCGTTGGAACAGAGAAACGAAAATTTCAAGTCAGTGCTGGCAACTTTTTACGTTTATTATAACGCTTCATTTCGACGAGGAACACAGGCAAATATTTTGTTTACCGTACCCCGTTCGCGTTATTGTTAGGGTTATTGGATTTTAGCGGTTACTTATCGACGAGGACGTAGAACATGCTTCGTTGCATGCCGAAACGAGCGCTCGCCGCACGCTCGGACGCTCGATCATGTTATTTATTCTTATTTTCCCTCGTAGAGTGAATCGCCGGATACGTTATTATTCGACTGTACACGAACACGATATCAATGGACGATTTCATGCTCGCCGTGCTCGCCGTGTGCTGTTACATAAGAAGAGATCGTTATAAATATTTCATTTTCATAGAGGTCCATCACCCTCGTAAAACTCTGTCGTGAGAATTGCAAATTGTTCACTGAGATGCCGAGTATAGCAAAACATTCTTTTTCCGTAGGCTAACGGTACGATTTAACGCATGGCGAGTAACTTTGATATTAGGAGCGTTATCAATTTTCGCATTATAAATTTGTTTACAACCGACTCTTATGCGTCCACAACAAATATATAACCCACGCTTCTACGTGTGCTATTATTTTTGCAGTTGCCGGAAAGATGACGGCTGATTCGGAGAAAGATAGCACCCACTGTTTGATATGTAACAGTAAGGTCGGGGTGTCTACTAGGAACAGTATACGTATTTTCAATGAAAACTCTGTTACACCATCGGAGAAACCGCTCATTGACATCATCTGTGTTGTTCTAGAGACAGACTTAAACGAAGAAAACGTACATTCTCTTGTTATATGTAAAAAATGCTATAAATTATTTAACGAGGTAAATGAATAATATTTATATTTCCCTTAGTTATACGAGAGAAGTTAAAGCATAACCGATGTTTGCAGATCGACGATCTCGAAAGTAGGCTGACAGAGGTGAAACTAGAACTCTTTAATAATTATAAGAAAACTGTAATGAAATTATCTGATCTGCAAAACGAAGATGAGTATAACGATCACGATTATATAGAGAACACGGAAAGTCAAGGCGCCGATATGGAAATAAAATATGCGCAGAAGGTGAGGAACGAAATACAGTCGACTAGAATTGCGTTAAGTAAATGATAATAAAGAATAATAATTTAAAGGATGATCGAGAAGTTCACGAGATGAAAGAAGTGGAGGAAAGATTAGAAGAGGAAGAAGAACCTCCCTGCGACGCGGAAGAAATTATTCTTAAAATGGAAGCGTTACCTGAAACAAGTAATAACGAAGAAAGAAAGAGGATGAAGCGTTCAAAAGTTGCTGCGAAAATGGAAACTTTCGCGGAACAAGTAATATTCAAACTATACGTGCTTCTATAATATTACGCTTTATTTTGATTAATAATTTTTTCTCAGCTCGTAACCAGAGATGGACCAACGTATACTTGCTTGATATGTACGAACGAGGAAGATAAAGCAGTAGGAGATGCAAAATCTATTATCGCGCACATGAAAAATGTACACGAAACGCGATTGTACATCTGCGACATATGTGGGGATGATTTTAGAAAGAGGAACGAGCTATCTGTCCACCTGGACGATCACGTTGCCAAGGAAGAGGGCGATTTTCAATGCGAAATCTGTAACAGAATATTCAGTAACCTACGGTTGTTCAGGATTCATAAACGAATACATTATCCACAAGTGAAATCCTGGCCATGCGAAACATGCGGCAAAAGATATAGGTAAAGAGTTTCGTTGTAAGAGGATGGAAAATGCCCTTAAACTAAATTTCACTTATTCGACTGTGCTCTTCACGCTGTTTCTTTAGCTCTAGGAATTTATTAGAGGAGCATATCAATACCCACACAGGAGTACGTCCTTATGTCTGCGAGAATTGCGGGAAAGATTTTGCTTCAAAGTACACGTACAAAGCACACGTGAAAACGCATGAAATACGCCCTCGCCCCTACGAATGTGCCCAATGCAATAAAACATTCTTGAGCCAACAGAATCTTAATCAGCACGAAAGAACTCACAACGGCGTGAAGGAATACATCTGTCACCAGTGTGGTACGTAATTTATTTTTTAAATTTCTTTGTTTCGCATGTATTTGAATACTTGTTAAATTGATAGGAAAAGCGTTTGGTTCGCCGCATAACCTAGAAGTTCACAATATAGTGCATACAGGTTATAAACCATACATATGTAGAATGTGCGGTAAAGCGTTCGCTCGCAAAGCCGAGATAAGAGACCATGAAAGAACACATACCGGAGAGAAACCTTACCAGTGTGAATTTTGTGGAGCCACATTCAGGTATATCCTACTACAGGCTGTTGTAATTACTGGTTGCAAAGAATAAGAATACTGTACTATACCGTCATGAAATTTCAGTCAAAGGTCAAATTTACAATCCCATAAACGCGCGACGCATTACAATGATAAGCGCTACAAGTGTGACGATTGCGGGAAAGGATTCAAACGTCGAAGGTTGCTGGATTATCACATAAAAGCGGCGCACACTGGCGAAAGACCTTACAAATGCGAAATTTGCACGGCTACCTTTGTTTACCCTGAGCATTACAAAAAACACATGCGCATACACACAGGGGAGAAGCCTTACCTCTGCGAGGTGCGTACGCTTTAAAATTCAAGTAAATTTATCTATTCGAAATTTGCATAATAATTCCTCTGCCGTGTGACTTTAGGTTTGCGGTAAAGCTTTTAATAGCAGGGACAATAGAAACGCGCATCGATTCGTGCACAGCGACAAGAAGCCCTACGAGTGTTTGGTATGTGGTATGGGTTTCATGAGAAAACCTTTGCTGTACAGTCACATGCAAACCCAGGTAAATCGATGATTTACGAAGAGATAGCGGTGCCATGTATTTGCTCAACGACGTGACACACTGATATGCGTTATGTTTCTTAGGGCCACCTGAACGATACCATCGTAGTTAATCAACCACGTCTTACTACGGAAGAGGATCAGATCATAACAATCCCTAACGATAACGTGGAACTTCTAATGGATGACGCTGAGAACGATCAGGTAATCGTTTGCCGTTGCCTTTTTGCTTAAATCGCGATAACACGCGTACCGTTACAACGTTAATCATTTTTTTATGATATCAATTTGTTATCGATATTGTTTCAGTTAGAAGAAACGGAATTATACGTGACGGAATTAAAAGACCACGTTATTATACAACAGAACGAGGATCAAATGTACAATGAAGAGGACGTGTTAAATATCTCGGCCGAGGAAAACGTTGCAGACGAAGAAGTGAGTCACCTTGTTAACGAAGAGGTATGTACCATTGATAACTCGAACGTAACTAATGCAATTAGGCAACTACTGTCTAAACTCACGAATGTTTAGATGACCTTTGTCGAGAACGACTCGATGGAGTGCAAACAAGAGGATTCGGAGCAAGTGGAAGAAGTGTATAATTATAACGAGAGCGAAGATGGGGAGACTATAGTCGTACCAGCTACCTCAGAGTACAAAGAAATGGGAGAAGAGAAGAACGCGGTGCGATTGGTGCAGATTAGGTTTCCAACGTCGGTAGGTGGTGAAGGCCGAAGTTGGTTAAGCTTAGTACAAAATACGTGAATTTTTCTACCATTATCGTTATGTACCGTAACTTGCTAATAGACCTCTAATTAATAATGTGTATGTACATGAAAGAATGAATGAATTTTGCCTTATGCGACGTTCTCGTCCGGAGGGTTGATATGATTATATGATAACACACGTTACTTTATTCGTTGTGATTGCATACCTCGCATACGGTATGCAGGTATCGGGTTTAAGACCTAATCCAATTTAATTACAAAATTATACAGTAGTTTTGAATATGTTCTGATAAATTGTAAATAGTGACTACGCTATTTCTTATGCGAATTAAATACGCGCGAGTCTATATGTAATTGACGCAAAGGCGAGAAACTTAAATCGTGGATTCCTACACGGGTTCCTCCCTGACCTCCGTTTCTATATATATTTCAATATATTTTAATATTCCTCCTTTTGAGCATTTCTTTTTCATTTTCCAATTGAAAACGATTTCTTTCGAGTAAGGTAGGGCGCCTCGTGTAATTATTCGCGGCACAGCCAGTCGGTAGTATAATTTTAATCGTAACTTAATTCTTTTAAATCCTGTTTGTTTTTATTTCCCGGTATCTTGTAGAGTTTACCGTGCGCCGATAATAAATGCTAGCAAATTAACAAGAGTTAGCGATTTATATTCGGAACGAATTAATAAATAATTATTTGTTGTACGCCTTGAACACACCTTGATCACATCTTGATCTTGAATCATAGCGAGCGTGTTAATCAATGTTTCCGACAATTTTGTAAAGAATTTCTTTGTACATTTAAAATTGACGAAATGTATCGGAATCACGTCTCCGTTATATTTCTAAACTGTAATACGTGTTTGTAACAATGAATTAATGTAAAATCACTATTATTATTCGGTGACGATCAGTCGCTAATTTTTAATTTCTACGTAATATTAATATTATGTAAAACCCTTTATAAGAATAATGGTATGTGCGCTTATAAATAAATGATATTATGTTTTTAGATATCGTCTTTTAGATTCTCGTCTGATTCCGAAGTAGCGAATAAAAGTGCGGCGTGTTTCGCAAAAGCACAGTTTTCAGGGAGGAGCCGGACGGTTTTGATAAATTACTTGGCACCGAGATAATCCATTAAGCGATTAATTGTTACGCTATTGTAGTCCGTGCCATCAAACAGCTCTCGTCGCGGCCTCAATAAGTTAAATTGAGTGTGAATAATATTCGAATCCGCCGAGTCTCTGCGTCGAACGCTCCTCGCTTAATGTCTCTTTATTCAAGTCCGTCTTTCAAAATCCATTCTCACGGTGCCATTATCCCGGCGTACTTGATTTTTAATAATAGAAGGAGATTTTAATAGCGCCTCGTTAAATAATCGTAATTTTCTCATGCGACACAATAATTCTAAGCTTTGCAATTGATTTCAAGATGGAACCCTCTTCGTACACCCCATCGGCTCCTTCGTCACCTCAATGGCTCTCTCCTCAAGTGCACGGATGCATGACGCTTCTCACATTAATTAATCGCTAACCTAATTGAATTGCGTTGTTAGTAAATCATGAATTCCGTGTACTTTCGACGTTTCATGAAGCGAATTGTCTCGAAATAAGCAACTCCTTTTTATTCAAAGTCCCATGAAAGCGAGAAGCCATAAATCTTTCACGGCCGACTGAACGGATTAGTCGAAAGAGCAGAGAATATGTGTAACGTTTTCTCTTTCTAGTTGTACATATAAAGCATGTTATCATCTATCGATCAATGAAGAATAACACCCGCGTTCGAGCGATCAGTTTATAGTTTGTCGCTACATCGAACACCATGTTTAGTCTACGGGTTCCCCTTGGCACGCTCGGGGACAAAGTCAAACCGAATACCATACTTGCTTCAAAATAAACAACTCGTCCGTCTCGACAGAGTATATTCGAAATTAGAGAACCTTCAATTTCTTTCTTATTATCTAGCATTTTTGAAATAACGTATCTATATGTATCAACACATTTTTCCACAGTGATTTTCGTTAAAATCAATATTCAACCAGTTATCAGAAATTTCTATCAATGTTCCTATAGAAAAATGTGTTGATATACAATATATACGTATGTATATATTAAAACACAATCTTCTACAGCAATTTTTGTTGAAATCAATATTTAACAAGTTATCAGAAGTTTCTATCAATGTTCTTATAGAAAAATGTGTTGATATACAATATATATGTATGTATATATTTC